GTAGAGACTGCTAAGGGAGGAAAGATGGAATTGAGATTTGCATCGACTCACCCTCTTTTAGGAAAATAGCCACTGGGTCAAAAAGAAAATACAAGCCCAAGGGGGTGAAGAAAAACCCAGTGGCAGTCCTAATAGAGAAAGATTATGATGAAGCATTGGAAAAGGAGAGGAAAATTATAAGAGCATTGAGGGAATCAGCAAAACTTGAGAATAGGATCACCAAAGAGAGGTTTGGCACAATGAAGATGGTCTCGGATCAGTTTATCCTGCCTAAAGAGAAATAATATATCTTGAGGATGTGTCAGGAATTCTCTGGTGCTTTCTCCTTTAATGATGAAGAGAGGGGGCGATTGGACGTGAACATGATCAAGATGGCCAAGATTTGGACAGTTGATCATGTTCCATGGAATGATAAACCAACCAAGTATGCCTTGAAGGAAGAGGCAGAAGCTGTGAAGTATCTTGACAAAAAGATTGGATCTAATGTTGCTGAACCTGTTGATGGACCGTATCCTAACCACTGGTTTTGTTTTTGGAAACCAAGGGGCGGGCTAAGATGGATACAGAATCTTCAGAAACTCAATTCTGTGACGGTACGTGATGCAGGTAGTCTTCCTAATGCTGACCTCCTCACTGAATCATTTGCTAGTCAATGTATTTATTCCCTAGTTGATCTGTATTCTGGTTATGATCAGTTCCCTATTGATCCCACTAGCCGGCCAATGACTGCCATGCACACGCCCAGGGGGCTTGTTCAGATGTGTGTGGTACCTCAGGGCTGGACTAACGGAGTGGCAGTGGTTCAAAGGGATATGATCAAAGTTATGCAGGATATTTCCCCTGAAATAACCAGTCCCTATATTGATGATAATCCTGTAAAAAGACCCTTGGTAAGAGATGGGACTTTGGTCGCAGGGGGAGTCAGAAAGTTTGTCTGGAAACATGCTGAAGGAGTAAAGATTGTCCTAGAGAGACTTCAGAAGTATAATCTGACTGCCAGTGGACCAAAGTCCCTTCTCTTTCAACCAGAAGTGATAATCTTGGGCTTCAGATGCTTCTCCAAGGGTAGGAGTCCAAATCCCAAAAAGATAGACAAGATCTTGCACTGGCCCCCGCCTCTCAAAAGAGTGACATACGTCAGGAGCTTCTTGGGAGTCTGTGGATTCTGGAGGATTTTTATTCCTCATTTTGCTGCCCTTGCAGAGCCTCTGAGGGAAATGGTTAGGCAACATGCTAACTTAGCATGGAATGATAAAAGACAAGCCGCAGCGGAAACATTGCGAGAAAAACTAAGAGATGGTGGTGTAGTGCTGGGAGTACCGTATTATGATGATGAGGAGACAAGACCTTTCATCATTGAGGCGGATGGAGGACCAGTTGCTCTAGGTGGAGTGCTTATTCAAAAAGATGAAAATGAGAGAGAAAGACCTCTGAGATTTGAGAGCAGAACCCTCAATTCTACAGAAAGAGGCTACACCCAATTCAGGAAAGAACTACTGTCAATCATCCATAGCCTCAGCTGCTTCAGGCACTACGTTTTAGGAAGGAGATTCATCCTGAGGACTGATGCATCTGCTGTGATTGGTGCCATTAAAAGGCACCAATAGGTAGATCCAACAGTCAGCAGATGGATGACCTTCATCTGGACATATGATTTTAAGCTGGAAAAGATCCCCACTGAGAAAAACAGAGCGGATGGCTTAAGCCGGATTGAGTGGCGAGAAGAAGAAGAAGATGATGTGAATGGAACGATTGAAGAATCTGCCTATGTTGATAATTTTCTTAATGAGAAAGATGATGAGGACTATGAAGTGCCATGCTCCTACAAGTGGAATCCATGGCCAGAAGGAAGAGACAGCTGGAGAGAGATCCCTAGTGCGTACATTTACGAATCGGTTCTTGGGAAAGAAGAGGAGGATGAACCAAATGATTGGTATGCTAAAGTCAATGCTGCAGCAGTGGCTGCTCATGAGATTGGGGAAAGTTCAGGTTCAAAGGAAAAAGAAGAGAGTGAGAAGAAGGAAAAAAATGTATTCTTCTTCTTTGAAGAATATGATGAAAATTATCAAAAGATTGATTGAAAGATGGAAAAGGAACAACTAAGAGAATACTACTGTAAGGATTCAAGGAAGAAATTCAGATTAAAGAGAGGACATCTCTTTGTGGATGGTAAGGGAGGTTTACCTCTGCTAAGAGTGGTCTGTGGTAAAGAGAGGCAGTTAGAGATAGTCGCTGCTCTACATGAGGGGGGTGCCAGTGGCCACAGGGCTGCTGAGGCTACCTACTCCAAGACTGTCAAACTCTACTTCTGGCCTGGCATGAGAGACATGATTTTTAGATACTATAAATCATGTGTCTTATGTCAAAAGAGGTCTACATGAAGGATGATTGAGCCCTTGTTCCCTACAATCCTGGTAGAGTCAGGTAGTAGAGTTCATTTAGATCTCATCACTATGCCTCCAGGCAAGGGTGGGATGAGATACATATTAAACATGAGAGATAATTTCTCTGGATATGTTGAGGCAAAAACTTTGAAAAGGAAGACGCCCGAGCAAGTGGTAGACTGGATAGAAGAAGTCTATCTCAGGTATCCTTTTATCAGAGAATTTGTCTCAGACGGGGGATCAAAATTTAGAAATAAGGTTGTCAGAAGAATTACACTCAGATTGGGAGTCAGAATTCGATATGTGACTACTTACCATCCTCAAGCGAATGCACCTGTTGAGAGAGGCCACAAAACTCTGAAAGATTCATTGGCCAAGTTGTGTGAAGGGAAACTCAGCAATTGGCCAAAGGTATTAAGAGTTGCTGTATGTGCTGATAATATAACAGTCAAGAGAACAACTGGTTATGCACCTTTTACACTGTGGTATGACCGTTATGCTACGCTCCCAATAGAAAGTATTGTCAAGACATGGTCAAGTCAAGAAAGTGACAGAGATTATTCTATTTCAGAACTTCTTCAGATCAGAATGAGGCAGATATTTGAAGTTGATCAGGCAGTGATGGATGCAGCAGAGAGGATGGCATCCAACAGACTATCGGATCAAGAAAGATGGAACAAGAAAAGATATATAAGAAAAAATAAATTGAAGATTAGAGATGTTGTCCTTCTGTTTGACAGTTCCCTTGAGACACAATGGACTAAAAGGTTGGAGCCCAGATGGCTTGGTCCTTACAGAATTACAGGAGAAGCAGAAGGCAAAGTTTATGAGATATCAGANAAAAGGTTGGAGCCCAGATGGCTTGGTCCTTACAGAATTACAGGAGAAGCAGAAGGCAAAGTTTATGAGATATCAGAGATGGATGGATCCAGAGTGCATGACATGGTGTCAGGGTCAAGACTTCGTAAGTTTATCTTCAGAGATCCTGACTTGATCCCTACAGTGACTTCAAAGAGAGGAAAGAGAAGTCAACCATCCAAGTGAGAGAACCGTCATGGAGGACTGAGAGAAAGAGTACAGTGAGACGCTGAGACGGCAAGACTCAGTTTTAGTGGACTCAGATCATTCATGCATAGTCAATTCAGCATTTAAGATTCAGCATTTCAGTTTCAGAACTTCGGTTTCATCATTTCAGTTTCGGTAATTTAATTTCAGCTTTCAGTTTCAACCTCTCAGCTTCAATATCTCAGTTTTCAGCAAGTTTTTTCATTCAGTATTTCAGCAAAACGACTAAGTCAGGTCTTTTGATGCAGTGCTACAGTCATTCCATGAGTGTCAAGTCCCTGAGAATGGGGAAATAACTGTAAAATCGGTTTCATAAGTATTGACACAGTGTCAAAGATTTGAGAAGCTCATGGTTGTGGCACATCAAAAGATATGATCAGTACTATCCTAAGATAAAGAGAAGAGCATGGCGGGCATGAAGAAGTTCAGTTGTCTGACTAAGAGTTATCAGCAGAAGGACTTCGAGTCTCTTAGTAAAATGTCCATCCCAGAGATTCAGATGAAGGCAGGCATAAGAAAGTTCAGCTTTACTTGACCGAGAGCGATCAGTAGAGGGACTTTGTGCCTTTGGCTAAGGGCCTGTCTTCGCTCGAATGAGGGAAGGGACCTCTCAGAGATCAGCATTTCAGTACTTCCTTGGGACTGACAGGACGTCTCTTCGAAAAAGAAAAGTAAAATTCCCAGTTGAGGGAAGGGACCTCTATGGGGCCAGCACTAAGCATCCTTCTTGGGACTGAAGGGAGGTCTTCCGTAAGGGCTTGGTGTTGGCTATCATGTTGCTGTTCAGTGTCTCTTGAGACTGACGAGACGTCTCTTGAGAAATGTTTGCTCTGTTATGGGGCATGGGAAGTCTGCTTGCGGGTTGTGATATGCTGCCTGATTGTCTGTGTCTGGGGTCTTTTTCTCTAACCTAAGGATGCATTGATTGTCGGGGCCAGCCAGAGCCTTACCGCAGTAGGTTGCAATCTGGTGGGGTCAGCAGGTGCCCGACGCGAGTGTCGAATTCCGTAGTCGACTGAGGCTAAGGCTCCGGGAGTCTGGCCCATGAGGTCGAAAGGGGTCAGTTGGAACCCTACCGTAGTCAGAGGTTGCAATCCAGCGAGGTTAGCCAGAGCCTGGAACTGTGGTTAGACCGGGTCCCACGTTCAGAGATCTGGGCAAGGCAGCCAGCGCCCTTGGCCAAAAACTGGTAGGTGAGCCGGTCCCTGACCGCAGTGGTCAAATCCGGGTTCGGGACAGTTTGACTGACGGGACGTCTGCTGTCATAGGGTGACCAGACCCGCTATAGTCTGGGTGTCCTGGCAAGAGTGCCAAAGGGTTGTCATACTCGAGTAGTGGGTATGCTGGTACTGACCTGGAGGTAGGTCAAAGGGGCTGTCAGGACAAATGGTCTGACTAGTCCTAGCCTGAGGCGGGCCGAATGAGGGATGTCAGACTGACGGGACGTCTGTCACCCCTAGCTAGTGGGAGGCTAAGACCAAGGCAATCAACTGATTCTGGGTGTGAAGGACTGTTGTGTAACATTTATTATTTTATTATTTTATTATTTATTCGTGGGATTTTATTTTATTCTGCTGATTGCATGATTGTTGTTTATTAGGAGATCTGCATGCTGGGGGCACAATTGTTGTGCAAGGAAGATGAGCATTAACGAACTCCAGCAATCAAACAACATCATACATATGTGTCCAGATGTCACCAGTTGCGGGGTACCCTGAAAATCGAGGCCCTGAGGGCCTGTCGCGTCTGCCTTCACTTAGGGCGGCCGACGTATTGCAAAAAGGGCCCCGAGGGGGCTGAGCGGGCGTAGCCTCGCATTCCCTCCTCCATATCTTCGTTAGTCCTCTGAGAAGATCAATCCTGAGCCATCTGGCGCTTTCCTTTCAATACATCCTTCTCATAGCGGGCAACGACTTGAGGAGCGGTCTGCATCAATGCCTCCCTAGTAAACCAGCGGTCCTCCTTCGGATCTGTGTGATGTCTGAAGKGGACACGAAACTGCAGCTTTGGCTTTGGAGGACGTCCCCTTCCTGGAGGCTTCTGAACGGGCATCTCCCTGTGGTCGACGATATCATTGATGTCGACTTCTCCGTCCATGGTTGGGGGCAGCATTGACCGACGAGAGGGAAACTGATCAGTTTCCTCGAATGCAGCGAGCTTAGAGGCGTGAAAGACTGGGTGAGTTCTTAGATGACCAGGGATACGGATGACATAAGATGGACCGTCAGGATCTGTCCCTACTACGTCTAAAACTTCCCAAGGTCCAAAGTACGGAGGCATAAGTTTGCGGGATATCCCGAACTCCTGTCCCAGTTCTGAAGACTTGACCCAGACTCTGTCCCCAACCTGAAATGTAGAAGGGCGGCGGTGTTTATTCTCAGATTCTATCATTGCTGCCTGCGCCTTCTGCATGTGCTCTACAGCCTCCTGCATTTTCTGTTCGTAACGATAAGCGAACTCCAAAGTGCCTGGTGTAACAGTTGGCTGGTTATCAGGAAGTAGGAAGTCTAAAGGCAGTCTAGGCCTAAAGGTAAGATGTATACTATTAGGACTTACCCCGGTAGCGCTGTGTACAGCGTTATTGTACAGACTGGCGACAAAAGCAAGCTTCTCATCCCAATCCACCTGGTTGGGGTTAATGTAATGTCTCAACAAGTGTTGTGTTGAATAGTGTGGTTCATCTGTTCAGCCTGGCCGTTTGCTTCTGGATGGTTTTCAGAAGTCATTTGCAGTTGAGTTCCTTGTTCAGCTGCAGCGGCCTTCCATACTTCACTTGTAAATCTGACATCCCTGTTACTTACAATAGACTTAGGCAATCCAAAATCCCTCACCCAGTTCTCTTTGAACACCCTGATTACATACTCGGTCTTCGCTGTTTCCGGCATGGCTATTAACCTAGCATACTTACTAAACCTATCCACGATGACGAAGATCTGCCTCATCCCACTCTTGCTGGTGACCAGCGTATCCATGAAGTCCATGGACAAGCTTTCACCTAGCCTTTCCGGAATCGGAAGGGGCTTGAGCAGCCCAAGAGGAGCCTGAGTACGGGGCTTGTCCCGTTGACAAACTTGACAAGTCTCCACGTACAGCTGTGCATCTCGCATCATCGTGGGCCACCAGAATCGCTGCAGCAAGTTGGCTGCGGTCTTCTTATACCCGAAATGACCGGTGGCATCATGACACTCACCTAGAAACAAACTACGCAAAGACTCACTATTGGGAACACACAATTGTTTATTCCCTGCCTTCTCAAGGAACAGCAAGCCATTAACCAACTCAAACTCGGCGGACGTCTTCTTGTCCTTCGCCTCAAGTCTGCGTATGATCTCAGACATAAACTGGTCCTCGCGATAGGCTTCCACCAAAGATTGAGTAACATTGTCCGTGAGACTGAACTCAGTAATCAGCGCACCTGAGAAGTTTGGTCTGCGCAACAGGGCGTCAACAACCTTGTTATACTCCCCTTTTAGATACTGAGGGTCGAAGTCATATTGCTCATTGACTTCGATCCAACGCTTGAGAGCGTCAGAGAGTACCGGCTGGGTTCTCATCCATTTCAGGGTCTGATGATCAGTTCTGAGGATGAAGAACCTCCCAAGGAGATAGTGTCTCCAATGGGTGAGACCCTTGTACACCGCATAGAGTTTCTTCTCATAAGTGGACTTAGCCAACTTATGAGACGGCATTTTCTTAGACATGTACTCAACTGGCCTCAACTTTGGTCCCTCCTGCTGTGCGAGCACGGCGCCAGTGCCGTATTGGCTAGCATCCGTGGTGACTATGAACGGCTTGTCAGGATCAGGAAGTTTCAAGACTTCATAGTGCGTYAATGCATGCTTCAGATATCTGAAAGCAGCCTCGCACTTATCTGTCCACTCCCATGGGGTGTCAAGGCGGGTCAGATCACTCAAAGGAGCGGCCACTATGCTATAGTTCTTCACGAAAGTTCTATAATAGCCTGTCATTCCTAAGAAAGATCTCATCTCAGTCACAGACTGAGGACGTGGCCAATCGCGAATGCTGGCCACCTTCGGGTCATTGGGCTTCAACCCTTCCGCGGAGATCTCATGACCCAAGTACAAGATACGGGTGCAACCAAACTCGCACTTTTCACCGTTGATCTTGAACTTGTGCTGTCGCAGGAGATTGAGAACTTTGTCTAAGTGTGCTACGTGCTCCTCGACAGTCTTACTAAAAATAAGTATGTCATCGAGGTACACGACGACAAACTTATCCAAGTAGTCATGGAATATCCGATTCATAGCGTGTTGAAAAGTGCCAGGAGCATTGCAAAGGCCAAAAGGCATCACCACGAACTCATACAGACCGTACCTGGTCTGAAATGCGGTTTTGTGTTGATCCTCGGGCCAGATTGCAATTTGATGGTACCCCGACTTCAGATCTATCTTACTGAAGTACCGACACCCTTGCACTCTATCTAACAGATCATCGATGCGCGGTAGGGGCTCTCTGTTCTTCACAGTGATGGCATTGAGGCCCCTATAGTCAATTCACATCCTGAGAGTGCCCTCCTTCTTCTTAGGTACGAATAGTACTGGAGATCCGTAAGGAGAGACACTCGGCCGGATCCAACCCTTCTCTAGGAGTTCCTTGAGTTGGCGGCGTAGCTCATCAAGCTCGCCTGGAGACATCCTATAGATCCTACCCTTCGGAATACTAGACCCTGGGATAATCTCTATCGCGTGGACGACCTCCCTATCAACAACCCCTGTTGGCTCTTCAAATAGATCAGGGTACTTGGCAACTAC